TGGTACATAATATAAGTCCCCCTCAGAAAGATCTGAAATAAAAAAGAATTGAATTGTAAACAGGGTTTCAGTTGTATTATTTGGTGGCTTGAAAGTAGGTGGTGGAGTTGAATTAGGCATTTTTTGTCAAAGTATCCAGGTTCTTCATATACATGTATTATTCTAAGATTTGTAAAACCAACATGGGACAGAATGCAAAAAACGTAGCAAACAGGCTGAAAAACAGTCCCAGTATACAATTTTTCCTTGGTTTTAAAAACTTGAGTATAATTGCCCATGAAGTACATGCTCGCTCTGTTGAGAATGATCTATGGATATCAATCATACACTGGACTGCAAAACAATTTCACAGTAAATCCTCTGAAGTGTACTGACCTGCTTGGCTATGTAAAATGTCTGTGGCATGCACTGAAATTGCATTTATTTTTCCCATTCTCTTGAAGGTAGTGCTCTTGTGAAGCTGGAAATAGTAAAACAGAAAACAGGTCCATCACCTGAAGGTTTAAAAAAAATAATTATATAGGTTCTTATCTGATAGATATATCGATATATCGATATATCAGATAAGAATATCTGATATCTATATAGATATCAGATAAGCACAATTTTATCTGATAAATATCTTATCTGATATATATCAGATAATATATCTATATATAGCTATCTATATATAGATATCTATATCTATATATCAGATAATAAGTGCAATATAAGCATATATTTTTTCCCCAAAGAACTCAGTATTTCAGTTTGTTGTCACAAGGCTAACATTTTTATTACATATTTATATATATGTACATGTGTGTGTGTCTGTGTATGTATACGTGTAAATTATATATATAAATTTTCAGTGAACTGTTGTATAATATTAGAAAGAACTTTCTCACTAAGAGGGTGGTTAAGCATTGGAACAAACTATCCAGCGAGGTTGTGGAATCTCCATTCCTGGACGTTTTTAAGAGCAGATCAGACACTTAGATTGGGATGGTTTAGTAAAGGAGGATTCTGCCCTGAATAGAGGATAGGCTAGATGACCCCCTGAGGTCCCTTTCCAACCCTACTATTCTATGAGAGGACCCAAACCTGTAAGACTGAAGCAGTCAAAGAATGGGAGTGGAGAGAGCTCAGTACCTTTTTGGAGGTTCACAGCATCTTACAGGATAAGGCTGAACATAAGCCAACTTTGATGGTTGCCACCTCCACACTGTCAGTTTATGCAAAACCTAAGATGATAGCTTCGAGTAATTTAGAGTCATGAAAACTCATCAACATGTAGCTGTGTTGAACACTGGTCTCACAAGCAATCAGCTATGATTGTATCCTTGCTTTTCTTTATTTATTCTGGCAGGCTAAACTGCTGAGGTTCTTTAAGAGCAGAAATCATGTTATGTTGTTGAATTCTGCAATGCAGAGTTAAGAATTTTTCAGATTTAAAATGTCAGAGCAATATCTCTCTAAAGGAGGTTTGCAAGGGTTAGGATACACATTTAAGACACTGAAGGTGTGTCTACATGTGATGTTACATCTCCGTAGCAACACACTCCCATATTATAGTATGCTGCTATGGCGACATAGGGGCTAAAAATAACTGTGCACTGCTGGCATGGCACAGTACGGGCTGTGCCATCACTTAGTACTTTCAAAAGGAAGTACTAAATGATGTAGGATTTGCATAACAGTGTAGGATTTTACTCTGCATAACTGTAGGCTTTGCATAACAGTGGAAAGTGCTGGTTTTTCAACTAGTAAAGTTGTGTAAAATCATGCAAAAGTCAATTTCTCGTAGACAAGTAAATCAAGAAGACAGTGATTAGTTTGTATACACAAAATGATAGCGCAGTAACAGTGGAGCCTTAGGGGCACGTGTAGATGTTCCCTGATTTCTGCATGACTTATGTTTAATTTTACTACTTGGCAAACACTTTCTAGAACTGTATCACCCATGGTTTTACAGAGCTTGCACAGCATATACAAACTAATCATTGTCTACTTGATTTATTTTTCTACATGAAATCGGCTTTTGCATGATCTTGCACAACTTTACTGGTTGAGAAACCAGCACTTTCCACTGTCATGCAAATCCTACAGACAACTTGAGAGGGCAGTTGTGAAACACCAACCCAACCAATTCATGCATGTCAAGGGGGGAATTATATCACATAGCTACTAGTTCACAGAGATGGAAATTTCATTCTTCTTTGCAGTGCCCTTGTTCACAGCCTGCTCCAAACAGAAGTAACCTCCTCATTCATTCTCCATGGGGTAATATTACTTATCATCTTTTACATTTCATGCTTAATTATCATGGCAAAAAGTCAATCACCATAGAACAAGTCAGTCCTCAAGTCCTTTCCCAGTCATCAGTAGCTATCTCACATAAGCACGAGTTTAGGTTTTTGCTTGGGCCTAGAGTAACTGATCCTGGGACCAACTGTGCCCTTTCATCTCCTCTGTGTGGAGGAGAGCTCTTCCTTAATTGAAGGAACAAGATGGGAGGAAGTGGAGAGTGGGTAGGCTGAAATTGGAAAGGAAAGGGACACACATTGCTGTTCCTGCGGAAGTTGAGATCAGGCTGTAAGGATAATGAACCCCTGGCCATATTATCTTTCCTCAAAATCTCTACTCTGGCAATGGCAGGAACCCTCTTGAGTCCCTGTAGAGGCAAGTGCAGCCCTTCCTGTCACTGTGGGGACAGGGAAAAAATGAGTGTTACCTATGAGACAGTGTGAGGACAAAACTGAGCATCTAAACAGGAAACTTCCTTTGGTTTCCTCAGCTTCCATGGAAATTGTGGGCTTGACCCATGATCTCTAGGGGAGAGAAATCTCATCCATACTGTACAATTGTGAAGGAACTTTGAACCAAACTTATTTTTGCTGATTTTCCTGATTGAACCCAAATTAATATTGTGCATAAGCCAGGACAATTCTGTACAATCATCTTCGGTAGCTTACTTCACATATCTTAGGTAGTAGAGCTCCTTTTACTCAGTATGGACATTTGTACACATCCTTTTTCATCCTGAGATATGCTGGAGATCCCCCGCTTTCGAACAGACTCAATTAATCGAGTCTGCTCTCATGCGAGCTGACGCGCACAATGCTGCATCCCCTGTAGTTGTATAAGCAGCAAAATGTGCATCAGTGTGCAGAAAATGGTGCACTTTTGAACTAAAGCACCTCCAAAGTGTTTGAGCTCAAACGTGCAGCATTGCCATTTTCTCAGCGACGCACATTTTGCCACTTATACAACTGCAGCAATTGCATGTGTAAAAATGCCCTATAATATTAAATTTGACCATTTGACTCTGGTACCTATTTTGTATCTCATGGTATTCCACCAGGGCCTATGTCAATTGTTTATATTAGTACAGTAAAAGCTGTGTTACCTGGCACCTTACAAACTGGCATGCTTTATTAACCGGCATGCCAGTTTGTAAGGTAAAAGTGAAACCAGAAGTGCCCACCGTAGCACTTCCGGTTTCGCCAAGCCCCCACAGCCTGGGCCAAAGCAGCCTGCATTGCCGAGTCCCCACAGCCTGGGGCATAGCAGCCTGTGCAGGACCCCGCTCCCTGTCCCCCAGCATACTGATGCAGCAGGAGAGGCAGCAATGCGGCAGCGTGCACCGGATGCAGCAGGAGAAGTGGCAGCTTGAACAGGCAAAGACGCCTGTTTGGGCCTCTCAGGTAACTGGCATATTTGGTTATCCGGCACCCCACATTCCCCATGGGTGCTGGATAACAAAGCTTTTGCTGTATTCCTGTAGAGCAGGCCTCTGAGCTCTCCAGTTCCTACTTATGCAGAAGATGCCATTTTATATTCTACAGGAATTTTAGTGTTATCATGAGGGAGCAAGAGACGGCAGACTCTTACCAACATTTTAACAGTACATTCTGATTTGTATCATACCACCTGATGCTCATTCGATTACTAGTCCCTAAGATTTTCATCTTCTTTGGGTTGAAGTGATTCTGGGACCTTTTAGCAGATGAAAGCTGAACAAATTGCAAACGAATTTAAACCTAAACTTCACTAAGTGTGTTTCTAGTCATATCAGCTACTAGCTGATGCTTGTATTGGCCAATTCTATTTTCATTACTTGTCTAGATTTGTCACCATGTTGTTTTGTAGATAGGATTTAATGACATTTCCTAATGCAATCTATTTTTAACCTCTTAAAAAGGTTTTTGGAAGGATGTCTTTACAAAACAACAAGGTTAAGTCAGGAAATCTTGGCCAAATGAGCCCTCTCCCACTATTACTCACTATTAACCTTTTGTTTCTCAATCTTCTGCTTAGACAAAGAGATGTTTGGAACACAGAACATCTTTTGGCTACATGTTGAGCATCTGCTAAATACACATGGGAGCTTCTTGAGGAAATTGCACTACAAATAATTCTGTGTTGTAGCTCATACTACACATTCCTTGCATGACCCAAGCAAAATGCCCACAGGCCTGATTTTCAGAGGTGTTGAGCACCAGCCAGTCCTCTATGGAAGTTGCAGCTACTTGAAAATGAGGTCCCCAACCATTCTAGGTAAGATTTTCAAATATAGGAAACTGAAGTTAGACATCTAAACCATATTTAGAGTTTCAAAGGTGCTGCACACCTAAACCTTCCAGCGGGCTTCTCAGGGCTCAGACAAATGACTCATTAATACCAACGTGATTTGTATCAGTTTTGTATTCCTAAAGACAATCAGATTCGGGATTCAGCTCTGGAGGTCTGATTCTTAGCCAAGTCCCCTTGGCAGAGAATGCTTTGTCTCTGGCTTTCATGTACTTTATCTTGGTTTATTGTTCTTAGGTTTTGGGAAAGCTCTTGACTAAGGATGATTCCTAGATCAAAATTTGATCTTTAACAGCTGGGATTTGATCCAGTAACTGCTTTGAAGATTAGGACCATAACCTTAAATTGGCTTTGGAAACTGATCTGAGGGCCAGGGTATACTCACCTTGGCCTAAGATTTGGAAAAGATTGAACTTTTCATAAGATCTTCTGCATGATACATTTTAAATAGGCACGCACATGTCAAAATGTGCATGTAGCAGAAACTAAGTAGCTCCCATCCACTCTGTGTCTTCCTACAACCCAGTATAGAATATATATGAATTATTTTATAAAGTCAATAAAATTAGTGACTTCTCTTAAACACCTTCCCCCTCACCCAGTCACGGCCACTCATTGTGATATGATTTTCCATTTTTCTTTCTCTCCTTCCGCTCTTTCTGTAGACGTTCCAGCTCAGCCTCATACATCATTTCCTGAATCAAGTACTTTTCTCTCCTCATCCGATCCCTCAGATCTTTTGGAAGGTCTGGGATTAAATAGGAAATCAGGTGCTTTATGCAAAAGACAAGGTGCTGTGAAAACAAACATTTGGAACATGAATTAAATAAAATTGAAAGCTGTAGTAAAATGATTTTTTAAATTCATTTTAAGAGGAGAAGACAGTCTCTGGTTCACAAAAAAATGTGGATCTAGAGTTAAAACTGTTGTTAAAAATTGAAATAAGAAAGTCTTAATCCTGCAGTTCTCTTTTACATAAAAACTCTCACAGAAGTTAGTATAGATCTAGATTTGAAGAAGACTAACAAGCTTTATCATAGAAAGTTCATCTTTCAGTTTATAAATTAAGGCCCCAGCTGCAGATTCAGACCACTGAGTCTGTGCTTTGAAATCACGTGGACTGTGCAGGCCGCAGGGGGCCTCTGTTAGTGGATCACACTTGTGGATTGGGGTCAAGAGATCTAATGTTATTTTTCCCCCAGGAAAAATCCATAAATTTTAGATGTAAATAGTTATTCATCACAAAATAAAATAGCTTCCTAGCATTTTAAAACCATATGACAATCTACCAAAAACATCCCAGTTAAATATCAAGTAAATCAATCATTTTGTCTTTAATTATTTGACTGTAATAGATGATTGGTGACGCTGGGGAAGATTGCTCTGCTCTTTCTTTTTTATCAGTGATGTTTCTTGGGGATTTGTTCACCTCACTTTACAGCAGAGTCTACGGAAACAGAATCACCTTCCATCACAGGTAAGTCACTTATTCCAAACTGGAGATAAAGTATACCTTCCTCTCTAGTTAGGACTTTAACTTTGAGTGCTGCAAAAGAGAAGTCACAGTTATATTTGCTACAGATTCTCTCTTCA